TTTGTTGACTAAGGACTCACCTGAGATCTCCCCAAAACCCTTCCAAATACCTTTTTTTTGGGGGGAGGGGGGAAGCTTTCTTTTTTTTTTCCAAAATAGTATTTTATTTTTTTCTAATTACATGTAAATATAGTTTTCAATATTAATTTTTGTAAAATTTTGAGTTCCAAATTTTTCTCTCTTCCTTCTTTCCCTCTTCCCCAAGACAGCAAGCAATCCAATATAGGTTATACATGTACAATCATGTTAAATATATTTCCACATGAGTCATGTTGTGAAAGAAGAATCAGAACAAAAAGGAAAAACCACAAGGAAGAAAAAACAAAAAAAAAATAGTATGCTTCCATCTGCATTCAGACTCCATAGTTCTTTCTCTGGATGTAGACAGCATTTTCCACTATGAGTCTTTTGGAATTGTCTTGGATCATTGTATTGCTGAGAAGAGCTAAGTGTATCATAGTTAATCACTGCATAATTTTGCTGTTGCTGTGTACAATGTTCTCTTGGTTCTGCTCACTTCACTCAGCATCAGTTCATGTAAGTCTTTCCAGGTTTTTCTGAAATCATCCTGCCCATCATTTTTTTTTTCCTTTTATAGTTTAGTTTGTAGGTGCTACTAGGTTATATAAAAGCTTTTATAAATTCATGTCATTTATGTTCACGGTTATGATTGTTAATTGCATATTTCTTTTTTTTATTAATTTCTTTTTTAGTTTTCAACATTCACCTCCACAAGATTTTGAGTTCCAAATTTTCTCCCCATCTCGTTCCTCCCCCAACCCCAAGATGGCATGCATTCTTAATACCCCTTCCCCTAATCTGCTCTCCCGTCCATCTCCAATCCCCTTCTTTTATCTCCTTCCCCTTCTATTTTCCTATGGGGCAAGATAGATTTCTATACCCCACTGCCTGTATATTTTATTTCCCAGTTGCATGTGAAAACAATTTTTAACATTTGTTTTTAAAACTTTGGGTTCCAAATTTTCTCCCTTCCTAGCTCCACAACCACCCTCATTGAAAAGGCAAGCAACTTGATACAGGTTATACATGTTTAGTCATGCAAAACACTCCCATAGTAGTCATTTTGTGAAAAAACTTTATTTCCCTTCATCCTATCCCACCCCCCCGTTTATTCTATTATCTCTTTTGACCCTGTCCCTCCTCAGAAGTGTTTGCTTCAGATTACCCCTCCCCCAATCTGTCCTCCCCTCTATCATTCCCCCCCTTCTTCCCTTCCCCTCTATTTTCCTGTAGGGTAAGATAGCTTTCTATACCCAATTAAGTGTGTACGGTATTCCCTCCTTAAGCCAAATCTGATGAGAATAAGACTCACTCATTCCCTCTCACCTTCTCCTGCTTCCCCTCCACTGTAAAAGCCTTTGTTTTATGTGAGATAATTTACCTCATTCTACTCTCCCTTTCTCCTTCTCCCAGTATAATCCTCTCTCACCCCTTAATTTTATTCTCCAGATATTACCCCTTCATCTTCAACTCACCCTGTACCATCTATCTATCTATCTATCTATCTATCTATCTATCTATACATACACAGAATATTTTTCTCCCTCCAACTACCCTAATACTGACAAAAGTCTCATGAGTTACAAATATCATCATTCCAGGTAGGAATGTGAACAGTTCAACCTTAATAAGTCCTTTATGATTTCTCTTTCCTGTTTACCTCTTCATGCTTCTCTTGAGTCTTGTATTTCAAAGTCAAATTTTCTATTCAGCTGTGGTCTTTTCATCAAGAATGCTTGAGAGTCCTCTATTTCATTGGATGTCCATTTTTTTCCCCTGAAGGATTATACTCAGTTTTGCTGGGTAGGTGTTTCTTGGCTGTAATCCTAGCTCCTTTGATTTCCAGAATATTATATTCCAATCCCTCCGGTCCCTTAATATAGAAGCTGCTAAATGTTGTGTTACACTGATTGTATTGTGTTTCCACAATGCTTGAATTGTTTCTTTCTGGCTGCTTGCAATATTTTCTCCTTGACCTGGGAACTCTG